TTCTGTAAGCTACTATACAACAGCAAAAGTTGTTCTTTGTTGGACTTTAGGATCCTAAGGAAAACAGTAAGTCAGAATAAACACTTGTCTCTTGTCCTCTTAACATACCAAGCTCCCTGATCTCAGGATTTTTGTATCTTATGCTATGAACAATTAGTACTTTAAAGTGTCCTTTATACACTTCCAGGAAGTCAGGAGCAATGGGTGCCCTTCCTGTAGCATTATGAGTCATATCTTTGTTAGAATATGGCTTGCAATTGTGAAACAGCCAAGTGGTTCAGCTTTAAGAGGATGGGGGCCCATGTTCCCATTCACACTCACCTGTCAGACACTCAGGGGACTCTGGTGTGAGAGGTGCATTTGATTCCTTTCCTTTGTTGGTGCAGTACCTATGACGCACGTCTCCAGCTTTCTGAGAAATGGCTCCTGTTGTTATAGGACAAGGCAGAAAGTGGGAAGTCCTGTAGTTAAAAGAATGAAACCCAGTGAGTTTTACCAAACATCAGAAACCAAAGCTCAGAAAGGGTGGTAGACTCTGGATCTGAAAGTGAACAGATACTGTACCTGTGTTCCACCCTAAATAGTGGGTTGTTTGATCACCTGAATGTTGGTCAGTACCTGACTGATGGCACTGCCGCTCAGGAGATGCATGTGTACTACAGTTATGCAGACTGGCAAGCCACAGCTTTCAGTTTTGTGCCAGGAGATTTTTAAAAATATCATTATTTTCTACATACTTCAGTGAAGATTTTTGAACGCGAATTCTTTCAGAAAGCCTCGATAAGCATTTTTAAGCTTTATATGCATTATGATGGCTTTGCTGTTACCAAGATCCCCTCCTCTATTGGAGTCTACTGAAAGATTTCAAAGAACGGAACTCTGAACCTGGCAGCCTTTAGGGAAGGGTCCAGGATTCAAAGTCTATGTGGCACTAAATTCTTCCTTTTTCCTCTTTTTAGTTGCTGATAAGGCTGCCTACCTTATGGGTCTGAATTCAGCAGACATGCTTAAGGCACTCTGCTACCCCCGAGTCAAGGTGGGGAATGAATATGTGACCAAGGGTCAAACTGCGCAGCAGGTAGGGAACGTCGTAACCTGCAACCATGTTTAGAATGAAGATCCTTTTGATTATCCTCTGCTCTGTAGGCATTTATTCTCCTCTAACTCCAGGTATTTATTTTTCTTATAGGTGCACAATGCTGTAGGTGCTCTGGCAAAGGCTGTCTATGAGAGGATGTTCTTGTGGATGGTTGTTCGCATCAACCAACAGCTGGATACAAAGCAGCCCAGACAGTACTTCATTGGTGTCCTGGACATTGCAGGCTTTGAGATCTTTGATGTAAGTAACAAAGATTAGGTAAGAGCTATTTGGAAGTAAACATTAGGTATTATGATCACTCTGAGACACATTTTTAAAGAGTACATAATATCATCACATAACTACTTGCAGCTATTTGCCTTTTTTCTCATGAAATAAAATTTATCTTTCAAAAGACTTGTTGTATTTCAGGTTGTACAAACTCAAAAGTACAGAATGGTCCAATAAGAAAAATGTCTTGGTTAAAATGATGAAGCACAAGAGAATATAAGAACATGTATACCATGATAAGCCTAAGCTTGATTTTTTCCTCCCTGTAATTTGGTCCCAGATTATACAGGAAATATATTTTATCCTCACACATTTAGCAATGGAAAAAAAATAAATCCTTGTGGCCAATTATTTTGATGCATTTCTCCTTATGTTTCATTACACGGACATAAAGCAGACTGAAGAAATTCACAGACTTGACAATGAAGCCAATATAACTGCTTTCCTTATTTTTAAAAGGATGAGGTTTTGCAATTATTGCTGCCTCATGAATATATGGATATTTCTTACTTATTTCCAGTTCAACAGCTTTGAGCAGCTGTGCATCAACTTCACCAATGAGAAACTGCAACAGTTCTTCAACCACCACATGTTTGTGCTGGAGCAAGAGGAGTACAAGAAGGAAGGAATTGAATGGACATTCATTGACTTTGGGATGGATCTGGCTGCCTGCATTGAGCTCATTGAGAAGGTATCTTTCCATTGAAATGCACTACATGGGTAAATTCTATAATAACTTAGTGTCATATTTTCAGAGGGATCTTCTATGTTCATGTCCAACTATTCAGCTTTTGTTACTTAAAACACATTGCCCTGTAGTTTATTCTTTTTCTGTGAAGTGAGACATGAAGGACATTTCACACAGCTTTGTGGCAGCAAGTCTTTACTGATCTCCTTCCAAGTGCCAAACTTGTTCTTCCAAACAAGAAGAACAAGTTTAATTTGTTCTTCCAAAACAGTTAGAGTCCTTTCTCTCTACTATGTCCGCATTTCTTTTGTACCAGGAGCTGGGAACTGGGCACAGCACTCCAGGTGGCTCTCATGAGAGCTGATAAAAGGTTGATCAGCTCCCTTGACAACACTCTTTAATCCAGCCAGGATCAGTTGGCTGCCTTTGCCACAAGGGTGCGTTGTTGCCCCATGTTCAATTCGTCTAAGACATCTGTATGTGCTCTGACTCCCTCTGGATAAGAAGGTAGTGCTCTGATTCTTTAAAGCACATTCTCCACACAAACTAAGTCACTTTCCATTAGTCTTTATGATTCATTTGGGGTTACAGCATGTAAGTATCAACATACTCAATCTCCCTTTCTAGCAGAAAATGTAACTGAATTATAATCCTTTCCAATGTGTATCTCAGTCTATGTTCTGCTACTCTGCCTAGTTGGAGGTCATTATTGCCCTGAAAACTAAGTTACGATCTGTCTCCTTTGTGCATTTCTTTCAGCCCATGGGCATCTTCTCCATCCTGGAAGAGGAGTGCATGTTCCCCAAGGCAACTGACACCTCTTTCAAGAACAAGCTCTATGACCAGCACCTGGGCAAGTCCGGCAATTTCCAGAAGCCAAAGCCTACTAAAGGAAAAGTTGAGGCTCACTTTTCCCTTGTGCACTATGCTGGCACAGTGGACTACAACATCACTGGCTGGCTTGAGAAGAACAAAGACCCTCTGAATGAAACTGTCATTGGGTTGTACCAGAAATCATCACTGAAAACATTGGCCTTACTCTTTGCCAACTATGGTGGAGCAGATGCAGGTTGGTCCTATATTTTCACTCATGTGCACCTTGAAAAGAGGAATCATGAAAGGCAAAAGCAAGAGTCTAAAACCTGTTTTATTTATTTTCAATTTTGCAGAGGCTAGTGGTGGCAAGAAAGGTGCCAAGAAGAAGGGTTCTTCCTTCCAGACTGTCTCAGCTCTTTTCCGAGTACAGTAGAGTTTTCACTGCTTCTTCCTACGATGAGGGATAAACCCACCATTTAGCATGGCTATTTATTATTTATTCCACTGTCCCTCTTGTTTAGACATGTTGGTGTATAGACATCCTAATGTTTTGTCTGCTTAATTTATATACTCTGTGATGGTCTCTGGAGGCACCTGCTTCACTCCATTAACTACAGACAATAATTATTTATAAATAAGTATACAGATATTAATTACAAACCAAGACTGGTGTTCATCTCACCTTATTCTCATCTACCTTACAAGATAAGAATATAAAAGCATGTAATTTTTGTTCCTTTTGCCTTCTATTTGCCTTTCAGGAAAACAGGAAGGTTCTATGTAGTGTTCCATATGACCCATCTTGAATGCCTATTTGTTGTATGCCTGATTATTCAGAACTTTATTCATTAAGTTAATAGCAGCAGAAATCTGTGTAAAGTCAGAAAAAGTGATGCAGGGGGCTTCAGGGTTCTGCAAGCTGATTTTTGTCTTATGATCTCATTTCAGAGGGCCAATGCTTATAGTGGAACTTACATTTGCTAATACAAACTTTTGTTAATGACTTTCCCAGGAGAATTTAAACAAGCTGATGACCAATCTGAGAAGCACCCACCCCCACTTTGTGCGCTGCATCATCCCAAATGAAACAAAAACACCGGGTAAGATACATATAGAAGTTTTTCAGTATGGTGCAGCTCTTCCCCTCTGTATTACAGAACATAGCATATATTTCTGCTCTGAATTGCTAGGTGCCATGGAACATGAACTGGTGCTTCACCAGCTGCGGTGTAACGGTGTGCTGGAAGGCATCAGAATTTGCAGGAAGGGATTTCCCAACAGAGTCCTGTATGCAGATTTTAAGCAAAGGTCAGACTTCTTCCCCTTACCAGATCATTTTGTCCGTTTTGAGTAGCTTGTGAAATTAAAGTTTCAACTCTGGTGACTGAAGCCTTATCTAAAGTTTATGTTCATAACAGTTCTTAGACTCTTTCTTGGAGTGTACCAGCCAATTGGTCTCAACAGTGGACCTCAGTGGTGTATTCATAGTATCATAGAATCATTTAGGTTGGAAAAGACCCTTAAGATTGCGTCCAATGCAAGTCCTTCTGTTTTCTCCCCCAGATATAAAGTATTAAATGCAAGTGCTATCCCAGAGGGACAGTTCATTGACAGCAAGAAGGCTTGTGAGAAACTTCTTGGATCAATTGACATAGACCACACTCAATACAAATTTGGTCACACCAAGGTACAAGAAGTGTTTGTTTCCATTTTTGGTTTGTGTGCCTTGAGAATGATACTCAGATTTTCCAGGTAGCATGTGAAATGATCAAATAGTGTATTTAAAAGAAATCATCTAAGTACTTATTTACTCAACACTTGAATAATACTGAAATTCATTACCATAGGATTATTTAATTAAGGGATAAATACAACTGCTAATTTAAGGCAAAGTTGTAGAGTAAAATAATCAAGGGTTAATAAAAACAAAAGCAAAATGTCTGGCTATTATAATTCCTCAACTGCAGGTAACTGGATACTTAGAGATACAAGAGAGTCTGTCACTACATACCTTTTTTGTGCTTTTGCTCTTTCTCTTAACTTCCCATATTATTTGCCATGGAGAATAGGGTACTGGGCTACACTGAATAACAAACACATAAACTGCACCTATTTTCTTGTTCTTACCAAAGGTGTTCTTCAAGGCTGGTCTTGTAGGCCTCTTGGAAGAGATGAGGGATGAGAAGCTGGCACAGCTCATCACCCGCACACAGGCGAGGTGCAGGGGCTACCTGAGTAGAGTGGCATACCAGAAAATGGTGGAGAGAAGGTAGACATTTCTTCAAATTTAGTTGACTGTATATGGCTTATTATGTCATCATGGTCTAAATACTTCATATTAATTTGACTTACCTTGCAGAGAGTCCATCTTCTGCATCCAGTACAATATTCGTGCATTCATGAATGTGAAGCACTGGCCTTGGATGAAGCTGTTCTTCAAGATCAAGCCCTTGCTGAAGAGTGCAGAATCTGAGAAAGAGATGGCCAACATGAAACAAGAGTTTGAGAAAACCAAGGAAGAACTTGCAAAGTCTGAGGCAAAGAGAAAGGAACTGGAGGAGAAAATGGTGAAACTGGTGCAGGAGAAAAATGACCTGCAGCTCCAAGTGCAGGCTGTGAGTACTACCAGTGTGCCTTATCCTAAGTGCATTGTGACTAGCAGGCTGTTATTTAGAGCTACATTTTCAAAAAACACATAGAAATTACAACTTAATTAAATTAAATTCAATTGTATTTCATTAAGTGGTGCTCTTAAACATGTAACTAGCTTCAGTAAGGACTCAGAAGGCTGCAGTTAGTATAATACATGGGTGAGATTTTTCTGAGGTCTCTATCATTTACATTCAGTTAAACTGCATTAGAGCAAACAGAAAACATTTACATTTATTATATAATGGTCTCCTAAGATTTTTTTTCCTACGTCTCCAAAATTGAGTATAAGTATCCCTATGCAAACCTGATTAGGAATTCTTATGACAACTTAAAAGGGCATCTATTTCACATGTTTATCCTCCAAGATAGCTTGTTTCTTACCAGTGTAGGTGGTGACAGATGTTACAAACATTACTATGTTGTAATACTGAACTGAGAGGAAATGGAATTTTATATTCTCACTTGCTCTCCTAAATCATTCAGTATCATTACATAAAATTATGTGCTACATCTGCAGTGTTGTCATACTGTGCCTTCTAAATGAAATCATTCACAGAATAGAAAAATCTGTATCTTCAAAGTAACACTATGCACCTATATGTGGCATATAGGAATATTTATATGGCTCACTTTTTAAAGTATCTTGAACTGTAAAAAGATGAAAAAATCCACTTGCTGCTAAGAATGCCTTTCTTTCTTTCATATTATTTCTGCTAGACTGAGTATTGAGGCAAAGTATAACAAATAACCCAGGACATCTGTTGCAAAAAAAAGCCTAGAGGCAAATTTCCCAGCAACACCTTTTCTTCTTAGGCGATGAGAGGCTTGCATAGAAAAGCAAACTCTGTTAGATGAGTATTTTTGGGCCATGGTGATGAAAATCTAAATCAGAAATGGTTGTTCCAGAAAAACAGTAGAGTGAAAAATACAGGGAGAAATACAGGAATCATGTAAGCATAATTGTGACTTTGATATTTATATGCAGCTTGGAGTATGGTTATGACTTGGCACTCCATAAATATGGGAGATATTCCTATGATTAAACCTAAATTTATGTACTTTGTTCTAATGTTTGATATTATGGGATAATGTTGGATACAATACCTTGCAGAAATATGTAAATACATATGTCTTTATGTAGATTGAGAAGAATTTTATTCAGTTTCAACTTTCAAAATTGGTGGTTTCAAAGCTAACAATATGCAGTCAATTCTGTATTATATTTCATTCTGTTGGAACATAACCCAGACTTTCAATGACAAATTTGCTGTACAGGACGCTGATCTATGAAGGTAAGCACCTCAATATTGCCTCAAAAAATGTATCCATAAAAATGCTCTTTTCCTACCAGGAAGCTGATGCTTTGGCTGATGCTGAGGAAAGATGTGACCAACTCATCAAAACCAAAATCCAGTTGGAAGCAAAAGTTAAAGAGGTGACGGAAAGGGCTGAGGATGAGGAGGAAATTAATGCTGAGCTGACAGCCAAGAAGCGGAAACTGGAGGATGAATGCTCAGAGTTGAAGAAAGATATTGATGACCTTGAGTTAACACTGGCCAAGGTTGAAAAGGAAAAACATGCCACTGAAAACAAGGTATAAGGCAGATGTCAATGTCACTCCAGAGAAAATAGTTTTTATAAGAAATAAAGTTTTAAACAACATTTTTTATCTACTCTTATTCCTTTCCTATCAAAGGTGAAAAACCTCACAGAAGAGATGGCAGCTCTGGATGAGACCATCGTCAAACTGACAAAAGAGAAGAAAGCCCTCCAAGAGGCCCATCAGCAGACACTGGATGACCTGCAGGCAGAAGAGGACAAAGTCAATACACTCACCAAAGCTAAAATCAAGCTGGAGCAACAAGTGGACGATGTAAGCACACGAGAATATAGCAAGAACAGAACAGGTATGGGGTTAGACCTGCCTGGTAGATTGGTGGTCTTGTTCGTTTTAGCTTGAAGGGTCCCTGGAGCAAGAGAAAAAACTGCGCATGGACCTTGAGAGAGCCAAGAGGAAACTTGAAGGAGACCTGAAGCTGGCCCATGACAGCATCATGGATTTGGAAAATGATAAGCAGCAGCTGGATGAGAAACTGAAGAAGTAAGTGTGGTGTGGAGCATGTGAGTGCTCGGCTGGTGTGCTTGTCATTTTTTTCTTTCAGCTCTAACATCGTTTTCTTTGCTCAAAGGAAAGACTTTGAAATCAGCCAGATCCAGAGCAGAATCGAGGATGAGCAGCTTCTGGGCATCCAGTTGCAGAAGAAGATCAAGGAGCTGCAGGCAAGTCTCTGTTCTTTCCCCTCCCACACCCATCCTGAGGTCAGGTAAGAGGAGGGCACGGGTGTGAATGGTCCCTGACGTTCTCCAGGCTCGTATTGAGGAACTGGAGGAGGAAATTGAGGCAGAGCGAACCTCTCGGGCAAAAGCAGAGAAGCATCGGTCTGACCTCTCGAGGGAGCTGGAGGAGATCAGCGAGCGCCTGGAAGAAGCAGGAGGGGCTACAGCAGCTCAGATCGAGATGAACAAGAAGCGTGAGGCCGAGTTCCAGAAGATGCGTCGTGACCTCGAAGAGGCCACGCTGCAGCACGAAGCCACGGCTGCTGCCCTGCGCAAGAAGCACGCGGACAGCACCGCTGAGCTTGGGGAGCAGATCGACAACCTGCAGCGAGTGAAGCAGAAGCTGGAGAAGGAGAAGAGCGAGCTGAAGATGGAGATCGACGACCTGGCCAGTAACATGGAGTCCGTCTCCAAAGCCAAGGTACACAAATACTTTGTCTCAGTTATTAATAATTTGAAAACGATGTAATAGTTGTGTTAATTTTATTTAGCTATTATGAAGTTTAATATAACTATTTTCTCCAAATCTAATATATAGAACTGTGTGCTATGTGCAGATATATAAACTGCATCTCTGGACACACTTTCCTGTTGTAGCAGTCAGAATTGAGGTATTAACTATTTTCTTATGTGTGATTGGCACCTAGGCAAATCTTGAGAAGATGTGCCGCACTCTGGAAGACCAACTAAGTGAATATAAAACAAAGGAGGAGCAGAATCAGCGCATGATTAGTGATCTCAGTGCTCAAAGAGCTCGTTTGCAGACAGAATCTGGTACGGCACTTCCTCCTCTGGTTTGGAAATGGGATAGAAACTTGGGGTTGTTAGGCAGAAGTGGCAAATCACTGCCTGGGAAGAGCTGGGTATGGCTCAGCAGGTGGAGAGCAATTATATTGGGCATCACTTGGGATTATTGTTTGGCTTTATTCTTTTTAATTGTATTTTTTTTTGTTATCCCATTATTATTACTATTATTATTTCCTTAATGTTAACTATTAGACTGTTCTTATCTCAACCCATGGGTTTTTTCCAATTCTCTTCCCCATCCCACTGGGAAGAGTGAGCAAGAGGATGCGGGCTGTGTGGTACTTAGTTGCCAACTGAGGTTAAACTGTGATATGGGACAACCCTGTAACTGACTCTTTTGGCTGGTAAAATAGCTTCTTAATTGCAAACTTTTCCAGGTGAATATTCACGCCAGGTGGAGGAAAAAGATGGTTTAATTTCTCAGCTGTCTAGAGGGAAACAGGCTTTCACCCAGCAGATTGAAGAATTGAAGCGGCAACTAGAGGAAGAGATAAAGGTGAAGATATTTCAAGTTAGATGGGAAAGAAATACTTTGCATCACACAGTTTTTGTTCATTGTTCATGAGTTCAAAAGCGGATCCCATTAGGTCATATAATTGAGATTCTGTCAGTGCAGGATTCCCAGCTTTTTGCAGTATGTCAGACCTTGCCTTATAAAAGCAGTGAGTTAATCACAGCTTCTCTGGGATATATTCCAGAGTCTAAGTGCCACTAAGAGAAAAATTCCCAGGATACATTTATTCCTTATGGCACTGATTTTATCTCTAGGCCAAGAACGCACTGGCCCACGCCTTGCAGTCTGCTCGCCATGACTGTGACTTGCTCCGGGAACAATATGAGGAGGAGCAGGAGGCCAAGGCGGAGATGCAGCGTGCCCTGTCCAAGGCCAACAGTGAAGTGGCCCAGTGGAGAACCAAATACGAGACAGACGCTATTCAGCGCACGGAGGAGCTGGAGGAGGCCAAGTATGTGGGGATGTTGGGCAAGGCTGGAAGAGACAGAATAGAAATTTCAGGAGACTACTGTGATATTGTCACGAGGAAGTCACTGCTCTGAGTTGGGATGGGGTGGCAAGAAGTGAGAGAATATAACCAAGAGCAGGTATGCATGGGGGAAGAGCAGAAGCAGCAAAGCTCTTCAGATGCAGAATAGCAGAGACTTGCTGGAGTGAGTATCAGAGTGAATAGCACGGCATGAATTCCTTCAGCCCTGGATTCAGACATAGAAATACAGTGGCTGGCTGGGAGACATGGTACATCTCTGTGTAAATGGGGATCACACACAACAAAGTGGCATAGGGTGCTCCTCTGAGAAACATACAGGCTGCCCAACAGAGGCTCCTATTTGCTTCCTCACCTGCACCTGTGCTTACCACCTTCCAGGAAGAAGTTGGCACAGCGCCTGCAGGATGCAGAGGAACATGTTGAAGCTGTCAATGCCAAATGTGCCTCCCTAGAAAAGACAAAGCAGAGGCTGCAGAATGAAGTGGAGGACCTGATGATTGATGTGGAGAGATCAAATGCTGCCTGTGCAGCTCTGGATAAGAAGCAGAAGAACTTTGACAAGGTCTTTCAGGCTCCAGACTGGGGGCTCCTGGACAGAGCATCCCGTCCTCATTGTCACATCCATACTGACACCCCCTTTCTCTTCAGATCCTGGCAGAATGGAAGCAGAAGTATGAGGAAACACAGGCTGAGCTGGAAGCCTCCCAGAAGGAGGCCCGCTCTCTCAGCACGGAGCTGTTTAAGATGAAGAATGCCTATGAGGAGTCCTTGGACCACCTGGAAACGCTGAAGCGCGAGAACAAGAACTTGCAGCGTAAGTGCCTGGCCCTCTGCTCCTGGCAGGGCTTTCTCAGCACCCACCAGTACCCACCGCTTCACATGGGTCTGTGCCTGCACGTGGGCAAAGGTGCCTGTCATGTTGGTGTGTGAGGGCCCTTCCCATTCTGCTCTGTGCCCGACAATGCCACTGGTCCTTGTTCCCACAGAGGAGATCTCTGACCTCACGGAGCAGATTGCTGAGGGAGGAAAAGCGATTCATGAGCTGGAGAAAATCAAGAAGCAGATTGAGCAGGAGAAATCTGAAATCCAGGCTGCCTTGGAGGAAGCTGAGGTAAATACCAATAATCACTGGCTTCTGCCTTAGAAATATGAGCAATGGGCAAATATGTCTAAAAACTGCCTGGTGATAAATATTCTGTAATTGCCTAGAAAGCTATATCAGCATCCCAAATGTTTGCATACACTTTCCCAGGCCTCCCTAGAACACGAGGAAGGGAAGATCCTGCGCCTCCAACTTGAGCTCAACCAGGTCAAAGCTGAGATTGACAGGAAGGTAGCAGAGAAAGATGAAGAGATCGACCAGATGAAAAGAAATCACCTCAGAATTGTGGAGTCCTTGCAGAGCAGCCTGGATGCTGAGATCAGGAGCAGGAATGAAGCCCTGCGTCTGAAGAAGAAGATGGAGGGAGATCTGAATGAAATGGAGATCCAGCTCAGCCATGCCAACCGAGTGGCTGCTGAGGCACAGAAGAACCTGAGAAATACACAGGGAGTGCTAAAGGTCCGTTCATCAAAGCTACAAAAAGGGATACGACATCCCTGATGTTCTTGACACTCAAGCTCACAGTTCCACCTTATAATTTTTGTTGCCTCTTTTACAGGACACTCAAATACACTTGGATGATGCTCTGAGGACACAGGAGGACCTGAAGGAGCAGGTGGCCATGGTGGAGCGCAGAGCAAACTTGTTGCAGGCTGAAATTGAGGAGCTGCGGGCATCTCTGGAACAGACAGAACGGTCCAGGAAATTGGCTGAGCAGGAGCTTCTGGATGCCACTGAACGTGTGCAGCTCCTCCATACCCAGGTCAGGGCATGGTGCAAAACCAGTTGTGTTGACACTCACCCAACAGTGTTGCTATATACCAGAGGATAGGGAATACTGGAATGGGCTATCTACTGCTGTTCACAGCCATCACTTGAGGCCATCACTGGCATTTTGTAAACAATCATTTTAGAAAGATTCCAGATTTTGAACTGCAGACTTGAAGAGTAAAGACTTGGCTGCTGCTGTAGGTCTCATATTATAAGCTTTATAATAAAAATCTTGCCATTTCTTTTTGCACAGAACACCAGTTTGATCAACACCAAGAAGAAGCTGGAAGCAGACATTGCCCAAATTCAGGGTGAGATGGAAGATACCATCCAGGAAGCCCGCAATGCTGAAGAGAAGGCCAAGAAGGCCATCACAGATGTGAGTTGGGGGCTCTTTCATTGCTGATGGTGGATGTATTCTCCCCCAGAATGTCTCCAGCCCCAAAATGGCTTTGACCCTTTTCTCTCCTCAGGCGGCCATGATGGCAGAAGAGCTGAAGAAGGAGCAGGACACCAGCGCCCACCTGGAGAGGATGAAGAAGAACCTGGACCAGACGGTGAAGGACCTGCAGCTCCGTCTGGATGAGGCTGAGCAGCTGGCACTGAAGGGAGGCAAGAAGCAAATCCAGAAGCTGGAGGCCAGAGTGCGTAGGGCTGGTGTTTGTGCAAGAGTGAGCATGTGCCTTGGAGAGATAGCAGGGAAGCTCCAAAGATGGGCTTGTGATTGCAGGTGCGGGAGCTGGAAGGGGAGGTTGATGCTGAGCAGAAGCGCAGCGCTGAAGCCGTAAAGGGTATGCGCAAGTATGAGAGGAGAGTGAAGGAGCTGACCTACCAGGTAAGGCAGGTGGTGTCCTTGGGCTCACACACACTCTTGCAGAAAGTAAAAATTTTTGCACCTGAGTGCCAAGGGGAATTGCTAACTCAAGTGGTAGGGAAACCAATTCACTCTCCTGTTTTCCGAACCTTTTAGTCTGAGGAAGACCGGAAGAATATTCTGAGGCTCCAGGATCTGGTGGACAAGCTTCAAATGAAGGTGAAATCCTACAAGAGACAATCTGAAGAGGCTGTAAGTATCACTCTCTGTGCAAGGCAAGAAACACTTTCTAATTGGGTAGAATGGACATTGAGGAGATGAACATAGGAAACTTGGAAAGTGTCCCTGGTCAATAATGGAGTTCTTCAGGTTCTGTGAAATGCTTATACAGTAGCCTAGCCTTTGAGAATGAAATCAATGAGCAAATAAGAAGGCTAATTGATTTTTTTGCATTAGAACTAAAGCAGATTTGAAATTCATATAAGTAACTTTACAAAAGATGCCTGTGACCCTGGAGTTTGGAGAAGCTTGCTCGTTAGTGCAAAGCAAAGGACTTGCCAAAACTCCAGAGTTCTGTGCCTAGGACTACTGCGCCTAGGAACTTTGTGTAAGAAATCCTGTCATTCACTATATGCTCATCTACCACAGGGGATGCCACATGGTCAGAGCAATTTCAGCAGGTAGAGAAGGTGTCTGAAGTATGCCCATAAACCATATTGAGCACTGCATTTAGAATTGTGCAAGGAGCCTTTGCCCTTTTCTCAGCATGCAGTCATCAGGGGTGGCCTGAGGGAAGCCCTGAGGCCCCTTAATTTATGAATGTCTCAGCATTGCTTCTTTGCTGTTGCAAACAGTCCACTACAGATAAAGGTTTCTGGACTCATAGGGACACTGAGGCAATTTAGGAGATACAGAAGAGTTATCAGGGATACTTGGGATACTGAGGAGATAGCAGGGGCTCAATGTCACTTACGCATTCCTAGCCCTATCTGAGGGTCCACAGGGGTAGCTGAACATTTAATTTCAGAGCTAACAAAAGCTGATTACCAGCTGCCTAGTTTTATTTCTTTCCCACACTGCAGAGCAGTATTCTTTTTAAAGCCTGTTGTGCACAGTCTACACTGTATCTGCTAAAAAGGCAGGAAAAGGAAGTCTGTGTGAGGCTTACGTGTGAGCAGTGTGGATGGGGAATGGAGATTTGTGCCTTTCCTCAGCAAAGACCTGCAGTCCCACAAGGCTGAGGTGTAGAAGGAGTGAAATCCCTGCCCTGGGCTCCTCACCACCAACTCCCTCTCCCCGCACAGGAGGAGCTGTCCAATGTCAACCTCTCCAAGTTCCGCAAGATCCAGCACGAGCTGGAGGAAGCCGAGGAGCGGGCTGACATTGCAGAGTCCCAGGTCAACAAGCTCCGAGCCAAGAGCCGGGATTTCCACAGGAGGATAGAAGAGGAAGAGTGAGGCTGTCACGAGGCAGCAAAGTGACCTGGAGGCTGCACAAAATGTGAACCTCTCGGTCACTTTCTTCTGCAATGAGTCTTTGTACCCACCCTAATGTCTAGAGAATAAAGACTGTAGATTCCTCTGCATGCACACTATAAATGGTGAAGCCTTTGTTTTTGTTTTCGTTTTTTCTGATCAAGCTTAGGATACTGCATTGCAGAACAAGTTATCTCACTTTTCCTGGCTTGGGGAAGGGAGAAGCTAAAGCAAACCCTGTGTTAAGAACCCAGAAACCTGGATGCTGTCTATTCCTGTGGAGGCTACTGGTAGTCCAGCCTCTTCCATCTCCACCAGCTCCTTGCCCTGCTCCTGCCTTCATGTACCTTTAATGCCTCTCCCGTTGTCCTTTCATCACAGCTTACTTTCCATGTGAGAGGCAAGAGAGTCTGGACCCTTTCCTTTTTCCTTTCCCTGCTATTGTCTGTGATCCTGGCAGTCACAAACCCTAAACATCAGTTCCAGTGCAGTGCACCATGAACAACCAACATTTCCTTGGCAGACAGGATTTTTGGCACACAGGGCACTGTCAGGAAACACTGATAGTGCCTCTAAGTTGTGCCACACAAGATCCTCTCAGCTGCTTCCACCCCTGCTCCTGGGGGAAAGACTGTCCCTTCAGGCACTGCATGGCACGAACATCCTTCTCAACACATCACCTCTATTCCTTTCTTACATATTGTACCTTGCTTCTGGCCTTCCTACTGGCTAAAGAGACAGTATATTCTGGAGAAGAAGAGAAGGGGGGAATTGTTAAGCACTTTTTCCTTTATTCAGACCATGGCCTGAACAGCACAGGCACAGTGGGCATGTGCAGCTGTGGTTTCTCGTGCACTCTATCAGCCATCTTAACTCGATTATTCTGATGCATTAAGCCTTGCCTCTAGTTTGGGTGAAGGACACACGCACGATATCAAGTTATGTTGTAGACAAGCCCACCAAATGTCTGCCTAAGATGATGTGCTCATAGAACCCACAGTTCTCTGCTTCCAAATAACTTCTGTCCCTTCTTTTCAGGGAGACCACCCTGCCTTGGAGGATTTTCTGAGGAGCCTCTCAGCCTGCAGGGCTGTGTCTACAGAGCATCAACCACAGGTTACCAGTAACTGAGGGCTGTTTAGTTAATTTGGAAATCCTTTTGGCCATATCAACTTACAAATTTGCATCCAGTGCTGCAACTCTGCCTGTCTGAAGCGTTCACTGCCAGGCACCCCAGGTGACTCCAGGCTGCAGGAGCTCTTGATGCAGACCAGTGTGGAGGGAATGAGAAGCACTTTAACAGCAACTGAGGAGTGAAGCGTAGCTGGCACTAAAAGGAAAGAAGAAGCAGGCTCAGGAGCAGAGACCAAGGCATGTATTGATGTTGAGAACTTCTGACAGTCTACAGCTTGGCGCCTGTATCTACTGAACATTGGTGCAAAGTGCTAGTGCTCAGAATCAGACGCCCAACTTTGTTCATCCCTCCTCATCCCCCTGCAGCCTTGCTTTTGCCTGGTGGCATGCATTTGTCTACCACCGCAGACAGGTCTCTCATGGGAGCCAGCTTTTCCAAACCCACCTATGAGCTAACTGCTCCTCTAGATGGCCCCAAGAATCTCTAGCCCCACCTGCAGGCATCTCCAAGAGCTTCAGGTGAGGCTGGTAGGGTCTAGATGACACCCAGGCACCAACAAGTACCGCTGTTATCTGTAATGGTTTGTACAAGCATAAACTTCTGAGGCACTCTGAAATCCTACTTTATAGACCTTGCACTATCCTTTGCCCCACAGTTCCTCCATCATGGAAACTTGAGGATGGGTGATCAGAATGAAGGAATGCAGCCAGCAAAGCAAGCCAGGCATATGGAAGAGGAAAGGTATCAGGCTTGAGGAGGATTGAGCAGTGTCTTCTGGCTACACTGGTAAGTATAAAGCCTGGATAGCTTTTCTATTGACCTCTATAAAACCACTGTCATAAAGGACAGGGTTTCCTTGGGAAAGGACAGAAAAGTCACTGAAGAAGCAGCTCTTGCATGACGGGTATGACTCTGTCTCTTCTGACCTACCATAGCCTTTCTCAGACTATTTTGAAAAGTCAGCTATTTCTTCAGGTAGCTTCCTCTGTGTTTTGCTTGCATGTAGTTACACAGCCTCTGGATTTGTGTAGCTTTCATGGATGTGGTTGAAAATGAAGCAGGCAGCCACGTGCCCTAAGCTCAGAGACAGATACACATCAGGCAGGACTTGCCGTAAGCATGGGCAGTGCTGATGGGTTGAGGTTCAGCCTGATAACCCCAGCAAATTCCCAGCTCCCTCCTGGACCCCTCCTCCTGGGCTCTGAGGTCCCACAAATCCACCCATCAGCCTTCCCAAGAGTCATTCCCGGGGGAGGAGACAGGGCCACAGAGAGCTCTGGAAGTGGGCCATGCCAGGAGGACCAGCCTGTCATGTGTGTCCCTTGTCCTCAGTGTCAGGAGCTCAGAATAGCCCTGCTCTCACAAGACTCCTGCACAGGGTCATGCCTGTTTGTGGAGATGATCCGTTTCCACTAATAGCGCTCCAAGACATTCCTTGGCGGGTAGGTTGCCTTCTATATCTCAGCACAACGTGCTGCCATGCAGGAGCTGGACAACTGTGGTGTGTCCTAAGATGGCAGATGCTATTCTTACCCCTGGGAGACTTGCTCGGGCACAGCTCCTTCCTGAGCGGAAAGGTTAAAAACCAGAAGCAGGCATGAGGGTGCTCTCTCTGGTAAGAGACAGATCAAGAGCACCTGGGTGCTCACCGTGCCCCCCATTGGACATGCTGTCCCAAGGGGAACACAGCAGCTGCCCAGGTCCTTCCAGCAGTCAGCCAGGGCCCACTTTGGGGTGGATGGAGGCATCCCTTCTCTTGAAAAACAGTGAATGTAAAAGGTGAGCTTTGCCATAGCTCTGATCATGCACGATTTTACAGCTGTCTCCTCTTGAGTCCCTGTCTGGGTGAGGAGGAAGGCAGAGGCAGGGCTTGCTCCATGGTTCATCAGCCCTGCAGAAGGACATGGCTCTTCCTTTGCTCCGGCTGTGCTTTCACACTGCAGGGAGACATTTGTGCTGTACACCAGAGATCCCTCAAGGGCCACTGGAGCATCAGGGCTGCAGAAGCAGCCCCGCCCAGACCGGTGGCCGCCACAGGGTGGTTATGGAGACCCAGCTCTGCCTGCAGCCTGGCTCCACAAGCCCTTGGGAGAGCTCGGTAGAGCCGGAGTCACTGCCTGATGCGGTCACCAGCAGCAATCAGGCTGAGGAAATGGAGGCCCAGAGACATCAGCTGGGCCGGAGGCTGTGCCTTTCGCCTCAGCACTTGCACTGCGGCTCAGAGGACACGGCCCCTCCAGCTTTATTCTCAGCTTGGTCTTGTCACCTGGCACTGAAGGGACAGACAAGTGCTTTTAGGGATCCTTGGCAGAAACACGGTGGCTTCATTCCCACAGCACCGGCGGCAGGACTGCAGCAGCTCCTGTCAGTCCCACGGAGCCCAGCCGGGCCCGAGGCCCCATTGCCAGGGGGTGGCACCATGGAGCCGCCGAGGTGGAGCCTCCTCTGTGGGTGCGTGGTCGCTGCAGGCCGGCAGTCAGGCGGGCGGCTTAAACCCCAGCCTGCTGGGTCAGGCAGTCTCGTGTGCTCTCCACTGGGACAGGACAAAGACAGCTGGAATGGGCCCTGGAACTGCTAGGGACATAGTTCTGAGCGAAAAGACCCTGAGCTGACAGGAGCAGCCACTGGTAGTGTGCCCTTTGGGAAAGGTGGTATCTAAGAACTTTGCAGGGCATAGTGAGACCAGACTTAAAAGTAGCTCTGGAAAATTGGAGTAAGTATCCTCTGATTTTCAGAAGGAAATTTAATGAAGGTAAACAAAGTACTTTTGGAGGATGAAATCAGACGGGGAAATGCATGGGCTTTGTCATCTGAGAGCAGGAGAAAAGGAATCAAGGGCACCATTTTATCCAGCTCAACAATATCAAACCGTTGAAAAAATGGTTCACCTCATTACTGCACATATTGGTATAAGTATCCTTTCTATACTGCTGGATGTGAATGTTTGCTTTCCTCAGCAATGGCTAATCTCAGTGGTAGTCCACAGTATCCCTAATAGAGCTTAATTTGTAGACTTCTTCTGAAAAATAAATGTCATTTTAAGAGTAAGGAGGAAAGAAGCCAGAATGACAAATATGAAAATTGTGACGTAGAAAAAAAGGTATGGATAGAGCTTCATATTTTAAGTTACGAGACAATAAATGTTAAGACTGGGTATAGGAGTATGAAAATATTTTTTTTCAAATGAAAAAGATTTTCAGTAAGGAACATAGAATGTTATATTGCCAGGACTGTAACTGTTTCATTTGAAGTGAAAAGGACTTGGAGTAAATATTAAGGAAATATTTGAATGAGAAAAAGTGTATGGTAGAATAGAAGATGTATAATAGTTCATCATCTCCTTTACTCTGTGCTTTTAAGTCTCTGTTTTAGACATGCATCTCTGATAGGCTGTCTAGATATGGATGGTATCATATGCGCTTTTATAGAAAAATAGCAAGTGTATCAACAGCTTTCATGCAACTGAAACTGTGATGCTCATCATGTCTATTTTTATGTTTAATTTCATAGTCAGCTACTGATCTTGCCTAGGAAAGGTGCTAAGGTGCTAGAATTTCTGAGAAGGTGTATATACCCCACTTTGCCTCATACCCAGCAAACTTATGTAGATGTGTTAATACCTGAAATTTTATTTTTATCTATTAAAAGCTCCTTTTCCCAGTTGGAAAGAGTTCCCATTTTAAGGTTCTGTTTATTTGCTTCCCTGAACAACAAGTTTTGTTTGGGGAATACACGCTAAGATGAGTATTTGATTTATAAATTTATATGTAATTAAACTTTAAAAATGGACTAATTAAAATTATTTCTTAATTCATTAATATATCAATTTAATAATGTAAAGTAATTTAATTGAATTTAACTGATTTAAATTTATATTTAGTATGTACTTTAGGTTATATATATAGGGTAAATAATCTGCCTTTAATTTAAGACACAGTGTAATCACCCTTTAAATATGAGAACTCTTGTTATGACACTGTTTTTAAGAATTCTTTAACTTGTAAAAAAATACCTCTCTAGTGATGCAATATGAATTTTAGCAATGTGGTAACCTAAACAGGGTACATCTCATATAGCTGGAACATAAAGGAAAAAAAGTTGTATTGTCAGGTTTTCTTTCATGCTGAATTAACAGCACTCCTCTCTTGAGGAGGCCGTAAATTATGATGAATTACCAGGATGCAAATAGCATACCAGGGGGAGGAAAACCAAGGATTCCTTCCTCTTGGTTATTTATTGCCATAACATATTGCTCCAAAGTGGCTGTAAAAGACAGAACTGAAGAGAAAGTTTAAATTGGAAACACTGCATATGTTCAACAGAACTGCTGCCCCATGGCAGAGGATCTCAGATCCTCTATGAACTCCTAGACTAGAGGGACATTGTTACCTCCTCAGCTAGCTATTCCAGGCTATCTGGTGGCATGTCACCATCACTGTCTCCTGCTGGAGCTGTTCTGCCTTACACAACTGATTTGCCCTTCAGGAGGAGCAGGGACTTGTATCTTTCCCTTGCCATCTCAGAAGGATGCAGAGAGAAATTAAGGAAACACTTATGCTGACACCAAGGAAATCTGTCTGCTGATTTTACATAGGAGGCTGTGATAGAGTCTCTAAAGTGACAGGAGCCATAGTGTTTGGAAAAAAAAAATGTCCCTTGAAATACTACAAGAAGAAAATCCTGTTGTAGTATAAATATGTACTGGAGATTAACTGTAGCATAGTCTAACTTGGCATCTGCGAGATTCTCTCTTCAGTTAAATCGCTATTTTTACTTCCTCAGATATGTGACGATATAAGAATTTGGATAAAGTGCAAAGAAGATATATTATTTCTAACAGTCTAAGATAATAATAAAGTGAATTCAATTGCATATGAGAATGTTTGCTTTCTATGAGTTAGCCTTTGTAGAGTATGACAGTAAACTGCCATATGTCCAGGGAAGAGTTCATGGGTTCAAAAAATGTTAGGAGAAATTAATCAGCTAAAAATCCATCATGAGCTTTTAAATACTCAGATATGGTGTCCTGCCCGCCGTACAATACAAATTACTGAGTATTTAGAGAAGTGCTGCTCTACGTTGCCTTAGGCAAGAAGACACTCCTTCCTGGGCATCACTTTCAAAGACATGGACCTTTGATCTCATAAGTGCAGTTTATTTTAGGTTATGCTACAGTTGCCTGCAGGGATTAATGCCATGCTTCCTCCTTACTTTCTTTTCCTTCCCCTTCCTTCCTCCTCTTCCGACAGCTTGCTCTTTCAATTACCTTTTTCCACCCAAGTGGTCGCACAGCTTGCCCACCCCACTCACCTGCTGTGTAACAGGAGACCCTCAGCTGCTTTGATGGGTGATAGACAGGGCATCCTGAATGTCATCTCCTTGGCCAGAATTTACTGCCCAGATCTTTTCCACTGATGTTAGCTGTGGAGACAGAAGGAGTGTGAGTAATGGGCACCTATGGTGGGTGCACATTTGAAAGCTGCCCATCCTCTAATCCCGGGCTGTGGGTATTATTTGACTCTCATGTTCAGTTAACTCATGCTGAGAACTTCCAAGAATACACTGTGAGAAACTACTTAGAGACAAATTAGTCATCAAAGTTCCCCCTGGGATGGATGCACTCACTTTCCTTGACATGCAGTGAAGGTAAATCCCAACTGTGTTAAGATCTGCAGACTTAGTTTCTGAATAGAGCAGAAGGGACAGGGGATAGCAAGGCTATTATAGCCCTGGTCTGGCTAGCCAGTGACATCAGCTTGTCTTCCCAAGTGCTCACATGTAGACCCTGCATTTTTGCTTACATTTGCCATGGGTGGTGCACACTATTTAAAAACTAGCAGGTTTCAAGTCTCGGTAGCTATGATCCTCAGTAGTTCTTCCTGGGACATCACTTACAGCTTCCAGCAATTCTCTCAGCCTATTCTTTCAGCCACATTTATCAGAAATGTTAGTTTAATGGCACATTTCCTAAGCAGTGACACATCAAAAATATGGACTGAGCACATTCTGCACACAATGTTGAAAGCATGCACCTTTGCAAATCTACACTGAATTGATAAAGAAACTTTTAATATGGAAAATGTGCTCTTACCATCTCTAGAGTTCAGTGTCCAGCCACATCCTAGCAGAAGTGTAGGGATGAACAGTTTTGCTACAGAGCAGTGTTCTGACATTTCTGCTTGTCTTGTGCTAACGTTCCTGTGAGCTCTCATTTTACACAGAGGCCAGCAGAGGCTGGGCATTCTTTGTCAGACTGTCCATGACAGCCTTAGAGAGAACTGATATGTCTAGATACGTTCTACCATAATGACAGCATGGCCAACAACAGCACTTGAAAGCTAAAAATCCTGCAACGAGCAAAATTATGAGGAAGTCAGGGAAATTCAGACTCCATCCTGTAACTTTGTTCTTTCTAGAAGAGTCATAAGTGTAGCTCTCTTCCACGGCATTTTTGTATCTCTCAGGTCTGTCACTATCTCGGCCTCTGCTGTTAGAGAGCGTTGGTGGTTTGGTTTTTGTAATTTTTTTTTTTCACCTGGAAAGTGCTATATGTTAATGTACTTATTCCAGAATAGAAATGATGCCATATATTCTGGGGTTGATGCTATTCTACTCTGTATGAGTTATAGAATCTGGAAAGAAGCAGCATAACACCAGAAAGTGATCTTTTAGTAGCTAGGTGTCACATTGCCATACATGGTTTTCTTTCTGTCTGCAATACTTTACAAGTATCTGCATCATGCTCTAGTCTCCAGCCTGGGTTCCACTTTGCACTATTTCCTCAGCATCTGGTCTATGCAGATTTATGAATATGGATGAAATTAGAGCTTTTCCTCCTGAACAACAGCCACCTAAACACTTCAAGCACTGGTAAATGTATCCAGTTAGTCATTGGTAATCTCTGCAGCACAGATACTTTGTTCATGGAACTCAGATTGTACAGTGCTCCCTGTGGCTTCTGTAGAACACAGATAATCTGATCTATCTCTTCACCTGGGAATCTTGCCCTGTCTGGTAAGTGGGAGTTGAGTGCTCATCTCACCATAGGCTACAACGTAGACAATATGGAAAAAATCTTAAATTTGGAATATTGAGCTTCTCAACTAAAATTCGCAGGATGATGAAAGGAATCTTAAATATGCTGCTGGAGGTGTGATTTAACAGAAAAGGCTGTTAAAGCTGATCAAAGATCTTATTGCCTACTAGAGAACTATAAATTACCTAACTCAACAGAGCAACCTACAAATAAAAAAAAAGCACATACTTTCATATATGTATGTTTATGTGAATAAACTCTCTCCACTTTTGCAGGGGATAAGAATTCAATACCATTGGTGACAATCTTCAGGAAAAGCAGCATGGGAGAGATGGGCAAGATCAGTGCAAAGGAGGGAACTACTTATCTTTTGGAAAGCAACCTCCATTTGGTGGGGAGATTCTATGGATCGGAATATTCTGTTTTGATATCCACCAACTGGATGCACCCCTGACAAAATGTCTATGAAATCCACGGCGTAGCTGGTCTAGAATGGCTGAATTGTTAAAGGACCTAATGAGAGTAACAAAGGTACTGAATGCTATTGTGAGGGTGACCTTGATGTGCTCTTTCAAAGACTTAGCTCAGCTACCTTCCTGTACTGGAATTCACTGCTGCCAAGGTTATAATTCATACCACACATACTGAGACCCAAGAAGGTGCCTTCTAGAACTTTACTGGTTGATTCCCAGATGGGCCAGCTGGGTTTGCTTCTCTCTGGGCAGAAGACCAATGGGCTTGAAAATGGAGGCTGGAGGCTTGCAATCATGCTTCTTTTCCTGATATTACAACTGGCCAGGAGGTCCAGGTCACTTTGGTCAGTAGTTGAAGGAGTGGAGGCCTGAAGGTGGTTCCATGACAGTGACATGGAGATACTACTCCTCTAATATCTTTCTAACTAGGTAGGTTATAAGGCTGCTGCTCCTGCTGCTCTAAGAAGCAGAGCAGGGAGTGAGGTTTCCATTGGGCCACAAACTCAAGTGCCTTTGATGGTGCTCGACTTTCACCACACTCTTTCTCCCCAGCTCATGCTCACTGAACAAAACAGAATGGAAATCACATTGTGGGGACTTACAGAAAGTGGGATGGGATCGCTTTTCAGCAATCTTGGGTGGCATCACTCCAGCACTTTGCCCACACCATGTGTCTGTGCAGGACCATCTGTATCCAGGGATATCTCTCATTCTCTTTTAACTGTGCTGTGGTTTGTTTCTACTCCCAGTGAGTTCCAGACCCTATAGGGATGGAAACAGAAGTGGTAGGAAGTCAATGTCTGGATCCATCTCCCTCTTTGTTTTGCATCAGGGCATAGCTGCCTTTTTCAGCAGATACATGGTTCCCAAGGACATGTAGTGTCTCAGTTGCCCCATGCTTGGACAGAGGAAATTGGCCAGTTTTCTGTGGCCTAACTCACTGAGAACTGTGGAGCTAAATCTGTTTGGAGTCTGGATCTGGTAAGTCAAATTACAGATTACTCTTTGCAAGAAGCTGGAATGCCTAATAGGCCATGTAACAAAAATTAATCACTTGTGTGGGATTGATAATCCCTACGAACTAAAACAGATCCAAAGCAGTTGGTGTATATCCCAGAGCTTATTCCAAGATACCTATTTGAGTGTCCATATGACCAGGATTTTTAAATCTATGGAAGAAAAATCTTCAAGTTAGTTTGCCTGCAAATACGAATTAATATAATCTTTATCGTCCATAAAGAACATGTGGGGGAAAGGGTAAAAGTTTAGATCTTGTTTTCTTTTCTCCCTCCTTTTATCTCTCTTCTCTCTGTTGTTTTCTTCTCTTGTTTTCTTTTTTCTAGTCCCTCCAGATCTATTCCATAGGGTAAGGTTGGTTTCCTTTTGAAAACTGCTGATAGTTAATGCTCCATTTTTGTGAGCAGTGTGCATGCACCCAGTGCTGCAGTTTACGGTTTTCCCTCTATACCACTGTTTAATGTTACCTATTAAAATCACCAGGGGAGAAGCTTCAGCTTGATACTTAATTTAGTTGGTGTGAAAGAGAAAGTAGGCATGGGCTGAGACCCAAGCCAAGGGTTATGCAGTATGGATACAACCAGACAATTCTGGTGGTCACAAGCAGTGAAGGTTGGCTGCAAGGCACCCTGTACCATTTTGCCTGATACCAGAGACTGCACTCAAGAGCAGATTTATTTAGCATTACAGACGCAGTCTTTGTAGTTAAATATACATGCCTTCAAAGAAGCAAGCAGGTTTGTGAAGTAAGACTTCCCTTTACAAATACCTATGAAAGACTGTTGATTTTTCCTGTATCTTTTAATTTCATTATTATAATTTCTACTGATTTGTCCAGTATAGTCATCAGCCTCACCATACTGTATATCCCTTGATTTCCTCGTAAGCCGCTTTAATGCCATGGGATTACATTGGTCATCTGCCAGTCCTGTGATATCGAAATGGATTTTTAAGTAGGAGCTTACACGCCATGTTTGGAAGCTTAGCAACTTCATTTTTGAGTTCTTCTAGCATTTTGGACATCTGTATTTGAGAAATAAGAAAGAAAGGGCTCTTTGCAATGAGACTACTAACCTGGTGACAAGGGTGTAAAATCAGCTTCATCATGGGAACAAGCCTTAAGCCCAGAAGTTGCAGAGGAATAGCTGCAAATTGCAAGGGAGAAAGGGAACATGGTCAGAATCATGCAGATTTGGTGGGATAGTATACACTACTAGAACATGGTGATAGGAGGATATGGATTGTTTAGGAACAATAGACAGGGAAGATGAGGACAACTTTATGTCAAAGTGCATCTTCCTTGTGCAAAGCTCCAGAGTGAATCTGTCAGAGACAGGAGGAAAATGAGGGATATTGTGATGTGATCTGTTATAGGCCACCCAACCAAGACAACATAGTAAAGGAATATTTCTACAACTCTAGAAAGGCAGAAGTCCCCTCAGCCTTTGGGAGGATTTCAGCCATCTGGACATCTGCTAGGAGGGCAACAGCACTGGGAAACTAATGCCCAAAGTTCTTAGACTGTGCTAATGACAATATCCTAGTGTAAATACTGGATGGGCAATGCTGAGTGTTGGAAGCAGGGTTAAATATGATCCTAGATGACAGCTCAGGCTGCAGCAACCACATGATGACTGAGTGAAGGATCTAGTGGAAAGCTGAGGAGGTAAGCAACAGAATTAACACTCTACAGTTCATAAGACTGGAATTTGTTGTATTCAGGGAACTGCTAGTTAGAACACATTTGGCAGCAGCTGTGAAAGAGAACACTGCTCAGGAGAGATCGTTAGGGTTTTAAGGAAAATTATGGACACCTCAGGAACAAACTACCTTGTTCTGCAGGAAGACTGGGATTTTGATCTTAGGAAGCAGCAAACTTCTTGAACTAAAACACAGAAGTGTATGAGAGGTTCAGGCAAGGACTGGTAACAAAAATAGGAATATAAAACAAGGCTTGGGCACTTGGAGACATTAAGCATAAGGGTTCTGAATGAATGATGCAGAAGGGAGTTCAAAGAAAATATCTTTCTACTGCTGAATGTGGAAGACCACCTACTGAGAGATGATACAGAAAGCACTTAAGTATGTAGCACATTTTCTGCATCAGTCTTTATAGACAAACTTGTCCCCAGGCATCTGCATCTTCCAGTGGAGCTTGAGAAGCAAAGGGGTAGCCAACAGTGAGTAAGTCCTAACCTGTTACCTAGTGAAGCTGGAATTACTAAGAGAAGCTGGATGTATTCATACCTATGGGGTGGGTTTGTCTCATTAAAGGATGTTAAAGGAGTTCACCCATGTAATTGCAAAGCCTATGTTTATCATTAATGAAAAATGATGACACACAAGGAAGGTCCCATATGACTAGAAAAAGGCTAATGTTATGCCCATTTTTTAAAAAAAGCAGTGAAACTGTAAGCTGCTCAGTTTCACTTTAGTTATTTGAAAGGTCACAAATACGTCGTTGGTATTTATTTCTAATGATGTGAAGGACTAGAAGATAACTGAAAACAGCCAACATGTATCTAACAGGGAAAGTAATCATACTTGATTAACCTGACTGGTTTCTATGATGAAGTGATTGTTTTCTTTATCAGTTCTTTTCTGGCAATCTTTGACCTGGACCTCTACTATGATATCATTAAAACTTAACCACTTCCCTTTGATTCCTTATTTGTATGTGCTTTAAAACACAATCATGTAGGATTTTGGGGGCTATTGTAACTCCTCAGAGGATGTTATATTACATATATTGCCACAGATCAATCCTTAAACAGCTTTATTTTTAACTATGTCCAAGTCTGTATTTAAACCAGGTAAGCCAACGCTGCTTTTCCTTTATACTCTAACTCATGAAGCATTTGTTGACAGTGTCTGCAAATACAGTTTTGGTACTACAATCTAAAATAACACTTGCCCATTTATGTGGAGTAGTAGTGGGGTCTCCTATTAGTGTCACATTAATTGCTCTAGCAGTCTACTAGTTATCTCAATAGCAGTTGGTGTTACTTAAGAAATGAGAAGAGACTTCTGAAGCGCCTGAAGCAGGAAACTTGAGGGACCTGAATTCCCTGAACAGCATGAGCATGGAAAAACATTAACAAAGGGCTTCAGTGCTGGACGTGCCAAGAGCTAAAAGGAATTCAGCTTGACAAGTTCCACTTCTCTTGAGTGTAGTCTACTTGGTATAAATTTGCTGTTCAACCAAAAAGGAAGACAAGGCAGTATATGTTCCCAACACCTTTCTTCAAGAATCTGTGCATGGCAGCTGGACATAGATGGAAATTTGGCAGACCTCTGTTCCTCTATAACAGATCATTTTGTGAAGGTTGTGTGACTGAATAAGATGTCAAATGCCCTCTACACTGCTGTTTTGCACTGGACAAGAATTAAAAATTACCATGCTAGTTCTATGGTAATGGGCAGCTCTTCTTCCTAATCTATGTGAAAATATTAGCCTTCTGAGAGATTCAACTATCTCTGTACCTTGTGTAGTAAGCTCTGGGTTTGGATTCCAGTCTGGGGCCCAAAATGTGGGTGCTGTAGTGCCAGAGCACCCTTAGAAGGGGCTCCTACAGCACAGGGCATCATCTGATGCTGTATATTACACTGGACACCAGACATTGTTTTTCTAACTCTTCCCTGTATCATTTGCTAAGCTATTTTAATGATTGAAATGTAAATGACCAGGAGAAGCATGTGTTTATACATGTGTTTAGATATGGAGAATCTGAAGAGGTTTAAGTCATTACAACATTTCCTAAAACTAGATCAGTTTGGACTACCAGCAAATCTCCTTTTCCCAATCCATGAGCATTATGTAGGACTGGCTGCTACCTCTAATGCTTTGGTACAAAGCTTTCTGGGACTGTGAATGTGTAAATATTATATTTTGATGGCAAGGCAGTGCTAGATTGAGGATTTCTCAATGCATAGTATCTAGAACTATATGCTGAGGTGATATGTGTGATTGTATGTATGAACATGGCAGGCTAAGCCACATTGTTTTGGAGAGTTAGAGGTAAGGAAAGGCTATTGGTGCCTCTGGAACTTCAGATTTGACAGAGGAAGCTGGTTATTTATGCAGATAATATAGGAGCAAACATAGGTCAAATGCAAATAATAAGAGTGTGAACAGTGAGAAAGCAGTTTCTGGGAAATCACTTTTTACATGAAATATGCACAAAACTATCTATGCAAGCACAAGCGTGTATTTTAATTTGATATCTCAGAAGTCAGCTCAGGATCCTATTCAGGAGCTGTGTTTCAAAGCAGAGTCTCCCATTACTTCTGTTCAGGCTTCCAACTCACTGTATTTCAAACTCTTTCAGCTATTGAGGGTGTCCCACACAGAAACCTCAGCTGTACTACATTTTGACTTCTACTTTTTAGAAAATACCACGGAAAAGTGTCTCAAGAACAATTATTTGCTGCTTTTTGACATACTTTTCCTGTTTTTCTCAATGCACATGTTTTCAAAGCATCACAAATGTTATCATCACCATTGCATGACTGAAAAGTTGTGGTATAAGCATACCCAGGAAACTCCCATGGGCCAATCAGCAAATCACTGAGAAAGCCAGCAAGAGGAATCATAAGTCCCTGCATCCAAGTTCTCTAAGTGCCTTGAGTAGTCTAGATTCTCTTCTTAACACTCTCGGCAAATTATTTATAGATGTATTCACACAGTAAGATATAAAAATGTTCTAATTATATCATTCAAATCAAATGAAAATTATGCCCTTATTTTGCCAGACAATGCTTTGCCAAAGAAGGTTTGCCAGAAATGTTTTGACCGAAGAAAGAAGGAGCATCTGCAGATGAGACACTATAAAATCTCCCAGAGACAAGTCTGACCTGTTTCCAAGGAAGGCTCCAAGGTAAGTGCATGGATTTTGTGAGCTTAAAGAAAGAGGACAAAGCCCTTGCAATTCCCTGTTCCATTTCTTCTGCCTCTGGCAGCCATTCCCATGAGGGAGTGCCCATGCAAACAAAACTTTTTATTATCATTTTAATGCATGTCTGATCTTCAGCCCATGATTTGTCTCTGGAATCCCATGCGGCAATAAGAAACAGTTGCCATTCCTATTTTACAGAGTTGGCCAGTTTCCAAGATACAAACCTTCTCCAAAGGTAATACCTTAAATAATGCATTCCTAGACTGCAGGAATATTATACAGAAAGTTATAAAGCTGCATGAGTTATTTTCATAAATCTGCTTATTTCTGCTGACTTTAGTATAGGCAAGACTGTTGAAAATAGGGAAGATCTGAAAAGTGAAGTAATTTTGAATTTTGAGCACATAAGGTAATACTTTTAACAAGAAAAGTTGAAGATGCATCTGTTGAAGATGCATCATTCATAATTAAGGAACAGAACAAACATGGATTTCCTCTGGCTGTAGATTCCTTTACATGAAGACTTCAAATCTGGGCAGAATTCATAAAATTTCAAAAATGTAGTAAATATTCTAAAGAATTTCTGTTTATCATTCCAAGGCCTGTGTGGTTTAGACAACTAAGTCTTACTCATTGGTGGGACTAGGATAATTTTCAGTTCAAATCAAAGTGGATTTCAGTGGTTGCTTCCAAGAGAGTTTCTGGGAGAGTAGCTAGCACTTCCCTAGCCTAAGAGCAGGAAGTTTTCTCACTTATATGGATTATATTATTTTTGACATTGATCCATAACCTTATTTTCCCCACAAGACATTTGTTGCGCCTTCGCTAAAGTGCAGACATGGCCTCTGGAGATGCTGAGATGGCTGTCTTCGGGGAGGCAGCTCCTTATCTCCGGAAGTCAGAGAAGGAGAGAATTGCTGCCCAGAACAAGCCTTTCGATGCCAAAACATCAGTCTTTGTGGCCCACCCTAAAGAATCCTTTGTGAAAGGGACAGTCCAGAGCAAAGAAGGAGGGAATGTCACTGTCAAGACTGAAGGTGGAGAAGTGAGTAAGAAAAGGCTGAAAGACACCATTTGATTCTGACTCTCGGCTCTTAGCTGACATACGTCGATCTTTTGCTTCCTTTGTAGACCCTGACTGTGAAGGAAGACCAAGTCTTTCCCATGAACCCTCCCAAGTACGATAAAATCGAGGACATGGCCATGATGACCCACCTCCATGAACCCGCTGTGCTGTACAACCTCAAAGAGCGTTACGCAGCCTGGATGATCTACGTAAGTACCAGCAGCAGTCTTCCTCTGGGTAGCTGGGAGGAACTGCTCTGCCAGCCTAAGTGGAAGCCAACGTGCTGTCTCGCTTCCCCACAGACCTACTCGGGTCTCTTCTGTGTCACCGTCAACCCCTACAAGTGGCTGCCGGTGTACAACCCGGAGGTGGTGTTGGCCTACCGAGGCAAGAAGCGCCAGGAGGCCCCTCCACACATCTTCTCCATCTCCGACAATGCCTATCAGTTCATGCTGACTGGTGAGTGCTTGATTTCTTTTGAATATCTCATGCAATGATGTATCTGTAGAGGGAAATTCTCTGAAAATATGATGCAACACTTAAAATACAGTGTGTGTGATAAGAATGGAAGATTAATGAACTTAATTGTAATGGTCTGTTTGAACTGAGTGTCTGTGTTTCCATTAGAATCAATAAAGACTTGGACCTAATGAAAACAATCTAGAAGGAGGAAATTCATTGGAAAGAAGTCACCTATTTTATGGTGTAGAATTTACTGACTGTAAGGGGGTCATACCTAAGTGCATAAGTTTATGTATAATAATCACTAAACTAATGTCAGCTGTAGTCTACGAAGTACAATAACGTCACACCTATCCTATAAGTGATGTGTATACATTCAATTCAAATTTACAAGTATCAGTGCTAACAAATAAAACAGTATCTCTGCATTGAACAGGTACATAAGCTTAATAAGATTAGTATGCAAATGGAATTAATGATGGAAAAGATGACCGGGTGGTCTAAAGTATTTGCAGCCCTTAATGATCTATGTAACTCCTACACTGATCTATGCAACTGTAAATCAGTTGTACCTTATAGTCAAAAGTAAACTTCAGAAAAAAATGCCAAGGAAAAAATAAAGCTTTTATGATTTATACTGAACAGCTTAAAAAAAAAAAAAATTGCCTTCCCTTTATTCCTTCTGCCTCTTATTTTCTCTTATGTGTGTAGTGAAACCAAAGTTGTGCAGGATTTTAGACCTTCTATTCTTGATATTTTGTTACGAAATAGGAAATAGATTCAGAAAAAAAAGGAAAATTTAAACTTCTCTATGTATGATCTTGGAAATACAGAATTTCTGTATATATAGGGGTAAAAAAAAATCCGTAAGATCACTCAGGAAAGTTTTAGTTTCAGAAGAATTCACATGCTGTTAGAGCCCAACCTCAATAATTTTGTTTTTTTACTTACAGTATAAGAGTGAAATAGGTAGCCTGATAAGTCAATATCTTGAAAGGCAGAAAGCTCCAAAAGCTGTTCTGAAGTGATGTCCTAATTGATCCAGTGGATAACATCTGAAGTAGGTGGGAGTATCAAAAGTATCCATTAGAATTACCAGGGCTTTTCACTGTCTTTTGTTCCTGCATTCTCTGGAAGTTTTACCTTGTATTTTTCTCCTAGTTTCTGAGCTATTTGTTGTTCATGATCACTAGGAAGAGTTTTCTTATCTCTGTCTTTTCACAGATCGTGAGAACCAGTCGATCCTGATCACGTATGTATGCTGCTCTGATCCCTGTGGGGCTGCCCGGTGCCAGGGACCTCCTGCCTAACCACATGCTTTCTGCTTCTCTTTGGTTGCACAGTGGAGAATCCGGAGCAGGGAAGACTGTGAACACGAAGCGTGTCATCCAGTACTTTGCAACAATTGCAGCGGGTGGTGACAGGAAGAAGGATGCTCACTCAGGCAAAATGCAGGTGAGTCAAGAACAACAGATTGAACATTTGGCATGTAACTGTTGTGTCAATGAAACACTATAACTGAATAATTATCATTCTGCAGGGAACGCTTGAAGATCAAATCATCAGCGCCAACCCACTGCTGGAGGCCTTTGGGAATGCCAAGACTGTGAGGAATGACAACTCCTCACGCTTCGTAAGTTGTTGCTTTGGACGAAATCCCTTCTCATTATAACAGTAGTGATGGGCTAGTGGTATTCTCACATAAGGAGATGAGGTTAAATGCATTTTGGCTGAAATGTTGCTGCTTCTTCTTAACAGGGCAAATTCATCAGAATTCATTTTGGTGCCACAGGCAAACTGGCTTCTGCTGACATTGAAACTTGTAAGATGCTCTCCTGGCCTGATCCCTTTCCTTCCTAAAATCCCACATCTGTGTGCCTTCCTGTGACTGAATCTTTCTCCCTTCCTTGCCAGATCTGCTGGAGAAGTCCAGAGTCACTTTCCAGCTCAAGGCAGAAAGAAGCTATCATATATTCTATCAGGTCACCTCTAACAAGAAGCCGGAGCTAATTGGTAGGAAGATCAGTAACATTTTGAAGGAATTTCAATGAGCAACTGTCATCTGGAAAGCTAAAGTAAGCCCAATTTTCCTCTTTTATTGCTTTCAGATATGCTCCTCATTACCACCAACCCTTATGATTTCCACTTCGTGAGTCAAGGTGAAATCACTGTTCCTAGCATTAATGACCAGGAGGAGCTTATGGCTACAGATGTAAGTAACTTACCAAACAGGTCATGTAGTGGATATGAGTCCTGGTACTCATACATTTATTTACTGTTTCTGTTGCCAGAGTGCCATTGACATACTCGGCTTCACTGCCGATGAGAAGACAGCCATCTACAAGCTGACAGGGGCTGTCATGCACTATGGCAATCTGAAGTTCAAGCAAAGGCAGCGTGAGGAGCAGGCAGAGCCAGAAGGCACAGAAGGTATCAGCAGATTCAGCAAACTCTCCAAAAGGATTCTTTGTCATCAAATGAAGGACTTTAGGCAAATTTCAGGCTTTAAGTATGGAAATCTGTAAACTAAAAAACAAAAAATTGTTTAGTGGCTAGATATCTGTTAAGGCATGTATCTCATTCAATGATACCTGTAACTTTATTCTGTTACTACTTAATAATGATCTGGTGTACCCTGCCAGGAAGCGAGGAAGCATGGATGTCAATTCCTGTAACATTATTATAGTCATAAGTATTTTTATTAAGATTAGAATTTTATTATTAACATTATTACTAACAATATTAACACACTAATATTAATCACAGTTTATTTGGAATACACCTTGTAATCTGCTGTATAGTGGAATAACTGTTGTAAAGAATCTGCTGTATAGTGCTGTGAAGTGTCTCAGTTGTTACAGAGTAAGAGACTATGCTCCTATGCACCCTCACCCAATAGGGGGAGCTTTGATTTGAGATGTGTATTTGATTAGTCTCTGCCACAGCAGTAAGTACAATCCATACCTCCAGCTCTGAGCAATGATCCTCTTGGTATAAGACTAAAAAGAAAGTGTGAAGTCCCATAGTCATGCCTGAAAAAGAATGAATGCAATGAGTTCTCTTGGAGGACATTTGTGCAAACCGAAGCTCAGGAGGTGTTGCAGACTCTGTATCCTGAAGCCACAGAGAAATTAACTTTGTTACTTGGCTCAGGTACTTTTGTGCAGCTCTGTAACAGTGAACATTTCCTGTTGCTTTTGAGACAGTCCCTCAAGTACAAAATTTTAGGAATTGCCAGTATTTATTTCTGTCTCTTTTCTGGTATTTAGTGGCTGACAAGGCTGCCTACCTGATGGGTCTGAACTCAGCTGACCTGCTGAAGGCCCTTTGCTACCCCCGAGTCAAAGTTGGGAATGAATATGTGACCAAGGGTCAAACCGTGCAGCAGGTAAGAAAAATGTGGTAACCTGAAACATGCTTTGATGGTTCCTGTTGATTCTCCTCTATTGTGTATGGTTATATACAACTCCAAACCTTTCTCCTTGCTGTAGGTGAACAATGCAGTTGGTGCCCTGGCAAAAGCTGTCTATGAGAGGATGTTCTTGTGGATGGTTGTTCGTATCAACCAACAGCTGGATACAAAGCAGCCCAGACAGTACTTCATTGGTGTCCTGGACATTGCTGGCTTTGAGATCTTTGATGTAAGGAAAATAATTGTCCCAGCATTTTCATTGATATTACAATTGAGAATAAAGGAAATTTTGAGATACCTTTTTAGTAGCAATTAGTATCTTCCTACACTTATTTGCAGGGCTTTCAGAATCTCATTTTTACCCCCCCCCCCCCCCCCAAAATCATAATAGAAAACTAGTCTCCTAACCTCCTCTCTTTTCTAAATGCAAAGACTATCCTAGAGAGATAACATAGGAAAACTACAAAGGAAGAAGCCTTGTATTTAAAGTATGACCCATGGTGAATTAGGATTACACAAGAAATCACCTGGCTACTATTACTAACACTTAAAAACTCTGCATGTTTTGTTGTTTTTTTTTGATGTCTGGCAGTTCAACAGCTTTGAGCAGCTGTGCATCAACTTCACCAATGAGAAACTGCAACAGTTCTTCAACCACCACATGTTTGTGCTGGAGCAAGAGGAGTACAAGAAGGAAGGAATTGAATGGACATTCATTGACTTTGGGATGGATCTGGCTGCCTGCATTGAGCTCATTGAGAAGGTATCCTTCCTGTTCAAGTCTATAATATGTTGGATCTTCCACACTTGCCAAGAGACATATTGAAGAAGCATGTGAGAATATTCTAGCTTTTTCAAATCTGTACTGTGTGAAAATGGTGACAGGGTGGAAATGTTTTCGGAGATGATACTCAGATATTAAGATTCTGGTGAGAGCATTAATTTCCAGATTACAAATTGAAGTTGTATAAAAGACTGCCATGTTCTGTAACTACCTATCAGTACAGAGGTTTTATGGAGAGGACTGTATTTCACAATGATGTATTTGCAATTTTTTCATTGGCAAAGGCATTTACATAAATCTGAATGAAATGCAACACTGAAAAAAGTAGAGACTTGGTTAACTTTCTTCAACTTAGTGTTGTAAAACACATGAGAACAGCTTTCTCTTCTGACTCCAGAAACTTTCCAATCTTTCTCCTTTCTAATTTCTTTCTCCTTCTTGTTGTAATTTCTTCCAGCCCATGGGCATCTTCTCCATCCTGGAAGAGGAGTGCATGTTCCCCAAGGCAACTGACACCTCTTTCAAGAACAAGCTCTATGACCAGCACCTGGGCAAGTCCAGCAACTTCCAGAAGCCAAAGCCTGCCAAAGGCAAGGTTGAGGCCCATTTCTCTCTGGTGCACTATGCTGGCACAGTGGACTACAACATCACTGGCTGGCTTGAGAAGAACAAAGACCCTCTGAATGAAACTGTCATTGGGTTGTACCAGAAGTCATCTCTGAAGACACTGTCCTTACTTTTTGCCAATTATGGTGGAGCAGATGCAGGTCAGCTTTGTGAAAATTGTACTATCAGTGTAGGACAATGTTGAAACAGAATTAAAACAGTGAACCCTGAACTGCTTTTTTTCTTTTCTTCCATTTACAGAGGCTGGTGGTGGTGGCAAGAAGGGTGGCAAGAAGAAGGGTTCTTCTTTCCAGACTGTCTCAGCACTTTTCCGGGTACAGTAATGCATTATTTCTCTCTTTGTAATATGAAGGAAGGAGGGGATGTAATATTAAATTTTATAGGGAATAAGGTAATATTTTGTATTGCTGTAACAGTGGTAAAATGCCACATCAGGTTTTTCAGGATCTATTTTATATTGCTAACGTGTCATGTTCAAAAACAAGCATTCAGTCTTCAAAGATTATAAAAAATGAAATAATTTCATTTGGTTTTTGTTTGGAGAGGATATTATTCAGATCTTTATATTTGGGTTAGACTAGAACTATAATTTTAGCATTCCAGCATTTCGGTGAGGTTGATATGTTAGGGAATTGGAAATCCCCCTACAAACATTCTCCAAGGAGGTATTCTTCTTACCTGAAAAATAAACAACCTACTTTTTAAACTCAAGAAGATCACCTTTAAAAAACCTAAAAGTTAATTACACTGTGGGAAAATGTGAAATCGTTTATGCTCCTACTGGATGAGTAGTAGTATTTCAGTCTTTAAAAATGATGTTCAGTATCTTCAAATAATAGAAATATTTGATTTCTGGGGCTTTATCTATGTTCTGAAACACAGCTAATATTGAGATGTTGTAAAGTTATTAGCATGGGTTTGATGCATCAAATGCTGGACATAGGCCACTCACATTACTAATTGGTCCCTCTAGGAGAACTTAAACAAGCTGATGACCAACCTACGGAGCACTCATCCTCATTTTGTGCGTTGCATCATCCCAAATGAAACAAAAACACCTGGTAAGATGCTCAAGCAGAAAGAGAACTTGCTCTGATACAGCCATTCCCCTCTGCACTGGAAATTGGTGTTCATTTACGGTCTGTATTGCTAGGTGCCATGGAGCATGAACTGGTACTTCACCAGCTGCGCTGTAATGGTGTGCTGGAAGGCATCAGGATTTGCAGGAAAGGTTTCCCCAGCAGAGTGCTCTATGCTGATTTCAAACAGAGGTAAGAGCGCTGCGCTTCTCGGCATCGTTAAAAGTAACTCTGGTTCATTCATATGGCTTCATTCAGGCTGCACTCTGTTGTCAACAGTTATAGATAAATATGGGTTGCTGGGGTTCAGTAACTAGAGTGTGTTGGGTAGGAAAGAATACCCTTTACTTCTCCCTTCTCCTTTGACAGATACAAGGTGCTTAATGCCAGTGCAATCCCAGAGGGACAGTTCATTGACAGCAAGAAGGCTTCTGAGAAGCTTCTTGCATCAATTGATGTGGACCATACCCAGTACAAATTTGGTCACACCAAGGTACAAACCTTTCTTGAGTCATTCATTACATCTCTGTGCTCTGCTCTACTTGCCAGTGATGTGCAGCAACATTCCCTTTCTCAAGGTGTTCTTCAAAGCTGGGCTGCTGGGACTCCTGGAGGAGATGAGGGATGAGAAGCTGGCACAGCTCATCACCCGCACACAAGCTGTGTGCAGGGGCTACCTGAGTAGAGTGGCGTACCAGAGAATGGTGGAGAGAAGGTAGACATTTCTCATCTTCAGTTAAACTCACTGTAGTTGAAGGAAAGTGTTAACACTCGTTCTACTGAAAATATTCAATGTACATTTTTATTATTCTTCAGGGAGTCCATCTATTCTATCCAGTACAATATTCGTGCATTCATGAATGTGAAGCACTGGTCCTGGATGAAGCTGTTCTTCAAGATCAAGCCCTTGCTGAAGAGTGCAGAATCTGAGAAGGAGATGGCCACTATGAAGGAAGAATTTCAGAAAACCAAGGAAGAGCTTGCAAAGTCTGAGACAAAGAGAAAGGAACTGGAAGAGAAAATGGTCAAACTGACGCAGGAAAAAAATGATCTGCAGCTCCAAGTGCAGGCTGTGAGTTTGTAACCATTAATTTATCACTCAGATAAAGGGTTATGCATTCAGACTGTTAGTTACAAAGCAGAAGGTCAGACTATAGAAGACCAAAAGTCAAATATTTGGTGAATTATCTATCATGTGTGCGTGAAGTTGGGGAAACAAGTGTCTGGCAGTGGCATTGTGAGCACTGACAGCCAGTAAAAAGAAGCAGAGAGCTCAAAGGGGAAGTCAGTGGTCTTGCCTTCAGAGGAACGAGGCAGATTCAGCTAGCCAACATGAAATACTCAGAACAGAGTTTTGCCTGGACCCCCAACTCTGTCTGAGCTTGTGATTCCTTCAGGGGCTATCTCCATCTCACCAGGATGTAGAACAATGTTAATTTTGGAGTGTAAATGCGAGCCAGAGTTGAAGTGGTACTTGTAAATTCAGG